TAATCTAGCCAACCACCTAAACAAGCATAGGGGAAACTAATAACTAGGTTTTACCAGCTACAAACCATGTAAACCAGCTACTGTATCACCTTAATCTAGATTTCCAAAGGGATTATAACAGTTTGATGAAACCGGAAGGTTTTTTTTTCAATCTGGTAACAGTGAGCAACACTGTTACCAGATTAGATTGCTAACTAAAACAATTAAACTATCACTATTATTGACATCTTTGGCAATTGAAATTACAGCTTAGAAACTTACTGAAATAATTGTAAATTTTGATCTAAATGTAGTTTACATTAAAGTACTAAAATAAAAAAATAAAAAAGCTAAATTGCTATTTTAGAAATAAAAATACTAATACTAATAAAAATGTAAAAAACAAAAAAACAAAAAAAACCCCATAAAAATTACAGAAACCAACTAAAATTAAAATATAAATTAAAATAAAAGTTAAATTAAATATAAATTAAAAAATATACATAAAACTAAAAGCCAATTCAAAATATGAATAAATAACCAAATAATATGTACTGTAAACAACACTACAACACCGTAAACAACAATAAGACTGTCTGGTAAGACTGAATCTGATTGTCCAGAAGTTAATTTGTAAGAGAAGTTGGGTAGATAGATAGATAGATAGATAGATAGATAGATAGATAGATAGATAGATCATTTTTATTTTTATTATTAAAATTATTAGTAGTGGTAAACCCGCCCCCCCCCATTTCTTTGGCCGGAATAACTATATTTTCACAAATACAATTTACTGTCTGTTTGTCTGTATAAGACTAAGACCACCCCAAAACCATTGTGAAGATCAGTGTGATACTGGCCTATCTACAGTTCTTTTTTGCCCTCTTTCATGTATTCCTATGTAGATTAGAGAAGCGCACCCTTTCAGCACACCTGCAATTCTGTGCGGGCCGCATTTCAGCGCTGCATATGCACTCCATGCATGTCTGCTTTGTTTATGTCATTGATTTATTTATCCTGTCCATTGAGCGTGTAGCCGGCGGCAGGAACGTTCTTTTTTAACTCTGGAATCACCACCTCCTAATTATCTGTCACAATTTCTGCTATCCCATGCCGAAGACACAGAATGACCAATAATTACCCTCCAGCCCGCATCTTTCAGTGTGTTGCCATTGATTTCCTGGCACCCTTACACCCCAGCCTCTCTCTTTCTTTCTCTCTCTCTCTCTCTCTCTCTCTCTCTCTCTCTGTCCTCCTCCATCACCCCAGAGACAGTGAGCGTATCCCTCGCCACCCAACTCCTGCCGTTCAATGTGAAAACAATGCTTTGGTTGATCATCAACTCACTAATAAAAATTAGACATGATCATTCCAGCGCTGTCAGTGTGTGTGTTTGTTTGTGTGTGTGTGTCTCCGCTCATGCTGTGACACGCATGACGTGTGTGTGTGTGTGCGTAACAATTGAAAAGGATGAGCAGCTGTCAGTGGTGTAAATGAAGATGAATCAAACATCATTGAGAGTGTGTGTTGTTTACTCAGCGTGATTCCCAAAAGACGCAGGAGGGGCAGAGAGAAAGTGATCACAAATGTCGAGCATTGATCACTCACAATTTGAAAGACATTGATTAATCGGCGCTAACCTCAACTTTTGTGCACAATAAACTGGATAACATGCTCAGCAAACTTATTCAAAACGACATTATAATGGAGTTAACATTTTGAGTTACTGTACAATAACAAACTAACTGTATAATCATCCTATCCATCTATCTATCTATCTATCTATCTATCTATCTATCTATCTGTCTGTCTGTCTGTCTGTCTGTCTGTCTGTCTGTCTGTCTGTCTATTGTTCTGTTGCTCTATCGTTCTGTCACTGCCATTCTATGGATTATATCATCCGTCCGTCTGTCTGTCGTTCTATCATTCTATCTATCGTTCTATCATTCTATCTATCAATCATTCTATCGTTCTTTCTATCTATCTATAATTCTATTGTTCTATCGTTCAATCGTTCTATCATTCTGTCTTTGTATCTATTGTTCTGTCATTCTGCCATTCTATGGATTCTATCATCCATCTGTCTGTCTGTCTGTCTATCTATCTATCTATCGTTCTATCTGTCGTTCTATTGTTCTATCTATCGTTCTATCATTCTGTCTATAAATCATTCTATCGTTCTATCTATCATTCTATTGTTCTATCGTTCAATCGTTCTATCATTCTGTCTTTGTATCTATTGTTCTGTCA